ATTCATAAATGTAAAGGAAAATCATCCTAGAGCAATGCTGAAAAGCTACTGTCTCACCCACCCTTGCAAGCACCACAAAACGGCTCATTCTTCGCTGCCAACTAGACTCGTGCAGACGCATTTATTAGCCGCAAAGCTTACCATTCCAGGCCGTGATTGGTTGATAAACACAATCAAGGTAGTTTCGACTTGTGGCAGTATGGGTTTTCGTAAAAAAAAAGTTTTCATCCAGTTTTGGAATTCTGTTAGCCTATTTTTTGACTTCATGTGGGTAAATATTATAATTTTTATATTCTGAAATTTAATAGTCTAAATTATATTATTGCAAATGTGACCAATCAGCCATGATTGTTTTGGTCATGTGGATAATTAACGGTGATTAACGCACTCTGGTTTACGTTAATTTTCGTTGTCAACAAAATCTAGTTTACGAACCAGTCGAATGAAAAAAATACTCAACGAAAAATCAGATAAGCCCAATGTTGCCTTAGTAGATATGTAGACAGGATCTGAAGAGAAAAAATTGTTAATATGTTGTAGAACTGATTTTCCTAAGACACAAAAAGTTTTTTTGACATAAAACTGGGAAAGGTTGATGATACTCATTTTTGAATATTTAAAAACTGGCAGAAAAGTTAAAAAAAGAGTGGTTATGAAATATTACAAAATATATATACGAAGGATCACTTAAATTTCAAAGCATACAATGCTAGGAGAATGCTAGGATAAGTAAAAAAATCACTATTCTGAATAATCATATTGACTTTTTTGCCATTTATTTCTCAGTGGGGGGGGGGGGGTTGTTTTTGCGACCATAACATTACCCTTTCCTATACTTTCATACTGATCACACTGTGATGTTTTCCATGGTATACCAACGTTATGTCATGTGACCGGCTGTAAACAAACATCACCGAACTGGTCTATTCAGTGAAATCCAATTCATATATTGAAATGTATTCACTTGACAAAAACAGTATCTGTCGAAAGTTCACCTACCTCATAAGACACCTGTTCAGTGATCATAATTGAATCTCTTTACCGTTAGTACAAATACGTACCTAGAGGCTTTAGGTGAATTAGTACATGCACTGCATGAGTGTGCTTTAGATAGAAGTCTGTAAAAATGTGTGCATGATTGGCTATGTATCTAATGAACGGTGCCTAATTACACTGGAAAAAAAGTATGTTTTAAGCTTGTTTATCGCTAACTAATGACTTCCAATAATAAGGCTTATATACACCATATTAGACATTAATGATTTGTCATCTTCGTTCCTGAAGATGCACTAAGTTGACCAAAGGATAGAATTCAAACATAATTGAATGAGTCTTTTGGGTCAGGCTCATGTTGTATTTCAGAATGTTAGTTCATTATTAAACATACAGTCTCCATGTTGTATCTAGTTATGTTTTGATTCCAACAACAAAGTGCACTTGATTGATGTCACAATGCTCATTCCCACTATTGGTGAATTGGGGTGAAGGGACAAACAAAACTGCTTAAACGCTAACACATTGTAACAATAATCTGAATAAAGGCAGGCTCAGGTCGACACGGAACTGAAAGGAACTCAACTCAACTCGTCGACATGAGCGCTCCGCGAAACTGAAAGGAACTGAACTCATGTCGACTTTGAGCAACTGAAATGAACTGAACGGAACTGAAAGGAACTTGGCTCATGTCGACTGGCAACTGAAAGGAACTATTGGCTAAAAACATTTTCCCCACAAAATCCCATCAACTGCAAAATGTCTGTAATGTTTTTATTAAGACATGTAATTATTTTAAAAAGTGTATCTACTTTATTTTTTTGTTTTGAAAATGTCGACCGGCAACTGAAACAAATGGTGCCTGTTTGATTAGTCGACAGAATTGTTTTTAAAGATTTCATTTTCTTCAAAATCTCATCAACTGCAAATAAATGTTTGAATGCTTGTAAGATTAGACGTGTGGTTAAAAATAATAAAATTAATTTTGAAGTTTATCTACTCCTTTTTTTTAATTTAGAAAAGTGTATCGCATATTGGTCTATTTGAAATGGGTTCATGCAAAATCTGGTGGAACAATTAAAACAAGAAAGGTCTTTTTCTATATGAAAAAAACAAAAACAAAAACAAAAACAACAAGTATACACGAATGCATTTTATACGTGACAATGTTTACATGAATCAGCTGTCAAATATGTTATAAAAATGTATTAATTTAATATTACGCGGATGCAGCAGCATACTTTTGATAGAATTCATAATTTACCACTACACTGCAGAGGGACTTTCTGAAAAAGGAATTTAGCTTTTCTTGACCTAGGCCCAATCCTAGGCCCTAAATAAATGTTCTAGTGTTTAAAGAATTTGTACAAAACTAACTTCAAAAACAATGCACACTCCCAAGAATTACTGGATTATTTATAATTCGTAAAAATGGATTTTGGAAGTGAGATCTACATACCAGTTAGTTGTCAAGTCTTTACTCGTCGTACATAGAGTTAGACGTAGGCTAGTAAGCCTGGCATAGGAAGCCTGCCTTTTTTCTACACTCTAGGCCTAGCCTAGGCTAGCTAGAATATGGTAAGTATATGCTGTATTATTATTATTATTATTAGGCCTAGCCTAGGCCTATTTGTTAATGTGTTAGAATAAAAATCTGGCCTATGGCCTACAGAATTTTTTTTTAAAACAAAGAATAAAGTAATCTGGCATTAACAAAACATTGTAATATAATATCTTTTTTCAGTTAATGCATCTTGATTACGATTAATATCAGGATCAACGTTTTCAGTTCCTTAATACAAAGTTAATCAAAATAAAGATGAACACGGTTGACATTTCAGGATATAGATACTTTATTTTACGAATATTTCAAGAGCTCCTGCTCTCTTCATCAGCGGTAACCGTACTGAACATATAATCAAAGTACTAACATACATTAGGTGTGGTATTAACTATGAATAAATTATGTGATAACAATGTAAGAATAGAAAAGCTGGATACAAACTATAGCTGTGATGTCTAATAACAGTCAATGAATGTATAGCCACTTAGAATGCCAAGATCTTTATTAAAGCCTTGTTTATGGGTACTGAGGTGTAAAACCCAACGCATCTCAGCACATCTTCTGGCTTTCGTTGT